TCAGGAGACTGAGGCAGAAGGGTCATGAATTTGAGTTTGAGGCCAGCCTGGGCTATATAACAAGTTCAAGACCAGATTGGATTACATGGCAAGACCCTGTCAAAAAAAAAAAAAAAAGATGGAGGAAGGGAGGGGAGAAAGAAGAAGAGGGAAAGGAAGAGTAAAGAGAGAGAATGAAAAGTAAGTTACAGGGAGAAAATATTTGCAGATTTTATGTCTAAAATATATAAATAAGGGCCAGGGATTTAGCTCAGTGGTTCTGGCGCCTGCCTTGCAAGCGCAAGGTCCCAAGTTCGATCCCCGGTACCGAAAAAATAAATAAATAAATAATAAAATATATAAATAACTCAACAATAAGCAAAGAAAACGCACGGAAACAAGGAGTCCAATTAAGAAGTGGACAAAAGACAAAAATGAAGAGACCATTCCAAAAGAAATATATGTGATGGTGTATACACAGTGACAGATAAGCAAGTAAGGAGAACTCACTGTCAGCAGTCCTTAGGAAAAAGAAAATCAAAACCCTGCTGAAAATACCCCTATGCTTCTATTAGGAAAATTAAAGTAAAGATTATGACTACACTAAATACTAGTAAGGTTTCAGAGAAACTGGATCACTCACACATTGCTGGTGGGGTTGTAAAATGGTGCAGCTACCCTGGAAAATAGTTTGGTGAGTTTTTTAAAAGAAACTCGCTCTGTGACCCAGCAATTATCCTACTGAGTATCTAGAAAAAAGGAAATCTATAGTCTCACAAAAACCATATACAATGTGTTCATAGCAGCAGTTTTTATAAAAGCTAAAATGTGGAAACAATTCAAATGTCCATCAACTGATGAATGGATGTATGTCATGGAATATTATTTAGCCATTAAAAGGAATGAAGTATTGATACATGCTGCAACATGGATGTACCTCAATAACATGGAAGGGAAAGAATCCAGTCACTAAAAAATGTGTAATTCCATTAATAAGAAATGTGGAGAATAGGCAAATTCATAAAGACAGAAAGTAGTTTTGTTGTTACCGGGCACTAGAAGGAGTTCAAGTGACCACTTGGTACAGAATTTGATGGTGGTGATAAAAACGTGTTGAAATTAGTTAGTAGCAATGGTTGCACAACTCTGTGAATACACTGAAAACTAGTGTATTGTACCTTAAGTATGTGAATTGTTTTGGTATATGAGTTATCTCAACTTTAAAAATTAGATTTATAGGGCCGGGGATTTAGCTCAGTGTTTCTGCCACCTGCTTCACATCGCAATGACCCAAGTTCAATCCCCGGTACCAACCCCCCCCCCAAAAAAATTAGTTTATACTTATTGTTTTCCTATGGTACAGTAAAGAACTTGGGGTATTCATTCCTATTGCACCTTGCTTTTGTAATGAATTGTCAGCAATCTCTAAAGACACAAATCAAATCACTTGGTATTTATTTTTCATGGTAAATATAATTTTTATTACAGTACAATATACATGGCATAAAATTTACCATTTTAACCATTTGAAGTGTACAATTTGGTAGAGTTTTACTAGTGCATATATCCTTATAGCTTTCCATTTACAAAGTACTTGGTTTCTATAAATAGAATTAATGGCTTTAGAAACATTGCAGTTAACTGGGTGTGAGTTTAGGAAGGCTTGTGTGGTGAAACAGTTCCTGCTGTGCCCTGTGCCTCCTGCCCGAAGCAGCCATGTATCCTTCAGTCCTTGAGTTCAAGCTGTCTGCCTCAGCAGGGCACAGGGGCACTCCCCAGGCTAACGTGGATCCCTACCATTCATTCTGGCATAACAGTGTTAATTATCTTTTTTCCTGTGGTGCTAGGGATATCATTTTTCTCTACTTCAATTAAATACTTATTTTTAAAGGTTTTTTTGGTACCATGGATCGAACTCAGGACCTTATGCTTTGTGAGGCAGGTGCTGGCACCACTGAGCTAAATCCCTGGCCCTTAAAAGATATTTTTAATGAATACTTTTATTAACTTTTGAAGAAACAAGCTTAAGATAGCCATTCCTCTGCCAGACAGTTCCTGTGCTATATATACGTGTGTGTGTGTGTGTGTGTGTGTGTGTGTGTGTGTGTGTATGTTTTGTTTTGGTACCGGGGGATTGAACTCAGGACCTTGCACTTGCCAGACAGGCGCTGTGCTGCTGAGCTAAATCCCCAACCCTGGTGCTTAAATACATTTTAAATGCACAGATTTTTTTAAAGGATATGTATCTTCTGTAACAAAATGAATCATATGCAAAAATGAACAATTAGGAATGAATTATAGTGAGGAGAACATATATTTCGTGCTAAAAGTTCACTTTTTTTTTTTCTTGGTTTTTTGAGACAGGGCCTCACTATGTATTCCAGGCTAGCCTCGAACTTGCAGCGATCCTCCTGCCTCAGCCTCCCAAGTACTGGGATTGTAGGCATGCGCCACCACACCCTGCTCCTGAACCATGTCTATTTTTTTAAACAGCAGAAAAGCTGACTTTTATGATACTACATGTTTTATTAACACATAGCTATTATTATCTAAGAATCTAAATCAAAATATAAGTGTGTCACCTGTCCAACTTTAGCCAGTGGCATCCTTTAAATCAATACTCAAACATCACTGAATTCAAACAGAACTTTACTAAGGCTGTGTGTATAGAACAGTATTTCTCAAAGAGAATTCCAGGAGAATGCTATTCTTCAGGAGATAGTGATTATACCAAAAAGGGGTTCACAGTTTCAACCTGAAGAAAGTTTGGCTTAACAGGGTGTTATAAGTACCTTTATTCAGAACTTCCATATCCTCTAGCATTTTACATTCCTACCAGCAATGGACAAGAGCTCATCTAGCCAAGCCACATACCACACAGTAGACCTAACTGACTGCAGAATCCCATTTTTATGGATTAGACTCTGCAGGACACTTTTAGGCCAACTCCAAAAGTTTTGGGTAGGTGTTGAATACTCTGTCACTATGTGGAAAGGGGAGTGGTTTTTGTTGTTTGGAGTTTTTTGTTTTTGTTATGGTGGTAATGTTGGTGGTAGGAGTCATACTATAGATCAAATCCCATGCCTTGCACATGCAAGGCAACTAGTCTACCACTAAGTTACACTCCCAGCCCCTTGGTAATTTTTGAATCTTGTACAAAGAGAATCTTTTTGCACTCATTTTTTTATCACTGAATTATTGTTTGTTTTTTCATAAAATAACTCTGGTATTAAAATTTTGACTTAATGTTTTAGCAAAAACATTATAAGTTTATGGCTTTAACAATAATAATAGTAATAACCACAGCAATATTACATGGCTAATGCATCAGACATCTAGTCTGAGCATAGAAACCCTTGTAGGGTACCATATATCCTCATTTTACTTCTTGCAATAGCATTTTCTGTGTTACAGAAGGGAAGACACAGTGGCTAGGAATTCAGTGATTTTCTTAAAATCCCACAGTATGTAAAGGTAGAAGCCTATACAGTTCTCCCTCCCTATTTTCAAGGGGCTTGAGTAAAGATCAGAGCTTTCTTTGTCTTAGAAACAGATCATCTAAGGTGAAAATCAGGTAAATGAAATCATATAGTTTTTGGTTTTTTGGTTCAGCTATATTCTATTAGGTAATTTTCCTTATTATATAAATAAATATGTTTCTTACACTATCCCTGACTTACAATGGTTTAACTTAACATTTTTTGACATTTTGATGGTTCAAAAGCCATGTGTTGGGCCGGGGATTTAGCTCAATGGTTCCAGTGCCTGCCTCGCAAGCGCAAGGTCCTGAGTTCGATCCCTGGTACCAAAAAAGAAGAAAGAAAATCCAGAATCAAAAGCTATGTGTTTTCAGTAGTAACTATACTTTGAATTTTTATCTTTTCAAAGACCACAAATCAGCCTAGTGTAGTGGCACACACCTACAATCCCAGCATTGGAGAGGCTAAGGCAGTTGGGTTGAGAGTTCAAGGACAGCTTGGATAATTTAGTGAGACCATGTCTCAAACAAACAAACAAACAAAAGACTATAGCTCCCAGACAGCCATAGGATTACAAGAGGAAATAACTGATACTTTACAGTGTACTGTGTTGCTAAGCTACATTGTTCGATGTTTGGTAGGTTTGCATTTGAAACAGTATTTTCAATTTACAGTGGGTTTATCAGGACATAACCCTATTGTACATAAGTTGAGGAACATCTGCTTGTCTGTTTTGGAAAAAAATACAGAAAGTAGGCCTGGGGATTTAGCTCAGTGGTGCTGCCTCCTGCCTTGCAAGCGCAAGGTCCTGAGTTCGATCCCCGGTACAAAAAAAAAAGTAAGTATATAATCCAAAGGAAAAAATAAATATATCACCCCCAAGTCCTCCCCAGATAACCTCTAAAAATAGTTTTATATCTCAGTCTTCTTATTCTTTGGCTTACTATATATAGGTGTGCGGGCACACACGCGCACACACACACACACACACACACACACACAAAGGTATTTTAATTTGTTGCCTACTTTTCATTTAGCAAAGCATCAAAAACGTTTTTTGTTTTGTTTTGTTTTTTGGTACTGGGGATCGAACTCGGGTCCTTGAGCTTGCATAGCAGGTGGCGAAACCACTGAGCTAAATCCCCGGCCCAGAAACATGTTTTTGTAGGGCCAGGGATTTAGCTCAGTGGTTCCCGCGCCTGCCTCACAAGCGAAAGGTCCCAGGTTCGATCCCCGGTACCAAAAAAAACAAAAAAAAAATAACATGTTTTTGTGTCCCTAAGTACATTTTCTACATAACCATTTTGGTGATTAGATAATATTTCATTGCGCAGATGTATCATATTTTGTTTTCTTGTACAGTTGAGTTTACATATGCCTGGGTGCCATCTATCTTCTATTTAGCCATCAACTAAATCTACAATCTTGAATTGTAGATTCTTGGCCTTGGGTCTATTAACCATTCAACCAGCTTATTGAATGGACACTTAATAGGTGATATGAGATGGTGAATACCTTTGACAGTGTCTTTTCCTGTTCCAGGACACCAGGGCTCTTCAGTTTGCTTGACACTCTGTGGCCCCCAGTAATGCCTCTTAAAGGCTCTGGCTACAGTGAACCCTGCAAAGAGGTAAGCCCAGCACTGGAAAGCTCCCTGGCCAAGGGCTGCCCCAAGCCAATGCTCATATGGAAACCCATACAGTGCATGTCCCCACAGTGGCAGCAAGGAGCCCCCTGCAGCTAGTTCCTTTGCCTGTAGTAACATGTGAGTATGGCCAGGATTGGGTTTAGGATCTCCTAGTCTCATTAAGAGTACTACACACTATACTCTTTGAGTGATTTTATGGGGGTTTTTTGTTTGGTGGTGGTGGTGGTGGTTGTTGTTGTTGTTGTTGTCTTGGTAGTAGTAGGGATTGAACCCAGGACTTTTGCACTAATCTACACCTCCAGCCCTCTTTTTTGTTTTTGTTTTTAATTTTATTCAGAGACAAGGTCTCACTAAATTGCCCAGGCGAGCCTTGAACTTGCAATCCTGCCTCAGCCTCCGGACATGCAGAGATTACAGGCGTGAACCACCATGCCTGGCTTTATGATGAATTTTTAAACTGCCATTCCAAATGCCTTTGCAACAGTCAGGACCTTAGTCTCATGCCAAACCAGTCACAGTGTTCTCCCCCCTTCCAATCTCATAAATCAATACTCACTTACCAATGAGCCGACCAGAATAGCCAGGAATTTTCATTTTCCTGCCAAATCAAATTGTTTACTGTAGTGGCTCACAAGCAGCAAAACAGATTAAAAGATGTTCTCTTCTCCGTCTTGGGTCTTGTCCAGCAGGGTGGTTAGTGGCAGCTTTGGGAGCTACAGCCATAGCTCTGAAAATTGAAAGTAAGAGGCTGCCTTCTTTGTGTAGCTGAATTTTTAGTGAGTATATGTATGACCCTCACCTGAGCCAGACAGCATAATATTTATCAAAAATGCCCATTTGTAGGGGATTGGAATGTAGGTCAATGGTAGAGTACTTATCTAGCATGCACAAGAACTGTGGACCATCCCCCTCAAAAAATGCCTGTACAATTCCTTACTTAATTAAGAAGTAATTTCTATATATTTTCAGTATACTCTGAAGAATGGGTTTCTAAAATGAAATCTTTTTTTTAGGCTGGGGGTTGAACTCAGGGCCTCACACATGCTAGGCAAGTGCTCTATTACTCAGCTACATCCCAGGTCCTTTTAATTTTGTTTGTTTTTTTATCTTTATTTTGAGGCAGGGTTCACTATGTTGCCCAGGCTGGGCTTGAACTTAGAATCCTCCTGCCTCAACCTCTTGAGTAGCTGGAATGATAAGGCATGTACCATTGTGCCTAGCTTGAAATCATAAATTGGCAATAAATTCAGAAGTGCGGAATTTCTTATGCTTGGTCCCAGAAGTAAACAACATGACCCGTGTCCTGTATGACCTTCCAGAAGAAGCTTGTATCTACAAACATGTATATATGAAGAATAGATTTTGGTAGTATATTTAGACTTTTGACAACATAATCATGTTCTGCCTTTGCTTTCATTTTAAACAGGTGAAAACTCATCTGCCTCCCCCTGCCTTCTGTTACATCTTCTCAGCTCATCCTAGTCTGGAACATATTGATATCACTGAAGAAGACCCCATGTCTAAGCTTTATCAGCCTCCAGTTCTCCACTGCTTAAGAGAAATTCTCTGGGTAACATCTTTGTTTCTAAAAACTTCTTTGAGTACTTCTGCCATGACCATGTGCTTTTAGGTTACCAATCATTCTCAATGCCTTTCCAGACTCACCATCTGGGTGCCCGGTGCAGTTTCTACGCCAGGGTGATTTATCAAAGACCACAGGTAATCTATCCTCCTTGCCTCCCTCCCTCCCTCCCCCTTCCACTAGTTAAGGAAGATAGCAAATTTGAGCCCAGCACAGACAACTTAGTAAGACCTTGTTTCAAAATAAAAAGGACTAGGAATGTAGCTCAGTGCAAAGGTCCTGGGCTCAATCCCCACCACCACTACAAAAAAAAAAAAAAGTTCAAAATAGAAAAGTTTTTTAAAAATCCAGGTAAGCATGACCCATGCTGATGTTGATACATTCATTCCATTGTGAGTGTGGATTGTCAGCCACTGTGCTAAGTACAGGAGTATAAAATAACTCAGAGGTAACTCTGCCTTCAAAGATACTTGGCCCCTTAGCATTTGATCTTTTCTAACACGTAGGCAAGTTGAAGGAAAGAAAGAAGCTGAAACTTTGTTCATGTAGTAAAAATGGAGCTCTCAGGATTGGGCCCAGTCACTTCTGGGAACTCCGAGAGCTTTCAATGATGGAAGCATCCCTGGAGTCGCTGTGAGGCCTTGGGCAGCTAGGGAGGGCAGCATAAATGAGCCTGCTGTTGAGTCAGCTAGGATTGGACAAGGGGAAGAGACATACCTGGTAGTCTAAATACATGGATTAGGTTCTGCAGGTCATTGCTGTTGGGCCTCAGCTCCTAGAGGAGTATCCACATAAATCTACTTACCTGAGAGGCACAGGTAAGTCCCCTGTACTGGGGGTTGAACCCAGGGCTTTCACACTGATTTACCTCCCCAGCCCTTTTTTAGTTTGTATTTCCAGGCAGGGGCTCACTAACTTACCCAAGCTAACTTCAAACTTACAATCCTCCTGCCTCAGCCTCCCAGAATGCTGCAATTACAAGCATGTGCCACCGTGTCTGGCTTAGAATATCCTATTTGTTAAGCCCTCGTGTATTCATAATTGATATGCTCTGGTTCTCCTGTGGGGCAAATGAGACTGCAAGCCCCCTAAGCACTGCCTCTAAGATCTGTGAGGGAAGCAGACAGGGCCTTGGGTGTCTGCTGCTTAGCAGGCTGCTGCAGTGTCAGCTGCAGCCAGTCAGCTGGGAACACCAGGAAATTTCCCATTGAGGAAGCTGGAGCCTGGGCAGGTGGCCTGGACTGGGCCACCCAGGCACCCAACACAGCAGGACATAGGCAAGTGTTGGGTAGCACCAGGGGCTGTTTTTTAACAAACCTATACATGGCCATCAAGACTTGACATCTACATCCCTGGCTTTTCTTTTTGCTGGTGCCATATTCTAATAGTTTCATTCACACACACTTAATATGAATCTCTAAAAAGTATGTGTGCTTTGTGTATGGCCACAAAGCTACCTGGTTTGTGAGGCTTTCTTTTATGGTCAGCTATCCTGAGTTATTTTTTTCTTTTTTCTCTTCTCTTTTCTTTTCTCTTTTCTTTTCTTTTCTTTCGCGCGCGCGTGCGTGCGTGCGTGCGTGTGTGTGTGTGTGTGTGTGTGTGTGGTTACTGGGGATTGAACCCAGGGCCTTCACACTGAGCTACATCCCCAGCACTTCTTAAAAAACATTTGTTAGAGTTTTGCCCAGTTGCCCAATTGCCCAGGTTGGGCTCAAACTTGTTATCCTCCTGCCTCAGTCTCCCAGAGTGCACAGCATGCCCAGCCAGAATTACTGGAGTTGGGCATCTCTATTTTGAACATTTTTTTTTACATTTCTCTGATCATCCATAGGCAGTAAGAGATACAAGATGACTAAAATAATATACTTCTTAACTTCTGATTGAGTTATTGATAAGCTGCAAGTGATATTTAGTATATAAATATCACTAAAATTCTTTTATTCAAAAAAAATTCTGTAATTCCAAGTGTGGTGTATCAGCTTATTCCTCATCTATATCAGCAATGGGCAAACTGCTCCTGTGAAAGGCCAGATAGCCAATATTTTAGGCTTCTCAGGCCATATTGTTTCTGTAGTGACTATTTAACTCTACCTTGCAATGCAAAAGCTGCCATATTGTCTTTCATAAATCAATAAGCAGGATTCTTTCAAAAGCATTAATTTATAGAAACTGAAATTGGAATTCATATACTTTTCATGTGTTCAAAATATGCTTGTGATTTCTTTCAACCATTTAAAAATGCAAAAACGTGGGCCAGGGAATTAGATCAGCGGTTCTGCCACCTGCTTTGCAAGCACAAGGTCCCCTGTTCGATCTCTGGTACCAAAAAAAAAAAATGTAAAAACCTTAAATAAGTATAAAAACCATACTTAGTTTGCAAGCCACACATAGTCAGGTAGCAGGCCAGATTGCCCCAGGTCATGGTTTCCTGACCCCAGGTCTGTGAGTCATTCATTGGGCCACCTTTTAGCTGTCCCAGCTCAGCAGGCAGGGTGGCAGGGCCAGTGAAGATGGGGATTAGGCACATGATGTGTCTTACTTTTGAAATCTGAGACAAACTGTAGGCTGACTTCATGTGCCTGGGCACATCTGCATAGTGCTAAGTAAATGAAGACATGCTCAGGATCAGGCACATTCCTGTTACTCCACATGTTCCAGGCTTCAAGGTGAGGCAGGTTCACTGAGCATTTACAGTGCACATAGAATGTGGTCTTCAGACTAGAGCAGCATTTGGACACCGTGACAACACATGCTCCTGCCTGCAGCCCTCGGCTGGGACCAGAGGCTGAGAGTAAGAAAAACTGTGTCAAATACTCACCTTGATTCTAGGCCGAGGAGAGCACAAGGGCAAATAGAGACAGACATTGAGGAATCCACCTCATTGGGTGGAGAATCCCTGACTCAGGGCCCTGGGAATGTGCACTGACCCCCCTTATATGAAAAATGGGCTCTCACCACACAGGAGCAGGGGGCATGTGTAGCTGGGAGTTGGTGGTTCTGTGGTCAGGACCCCAAAGTCAAGGACCTGGAACCCAAAGGAACTGATTCCTTAACCCACTAAAAATCTGTTTTGTCTCCTGCATTCTGCTTATGTGGAAAACGGAATCACCAGAAACCAGCCTCCTCAGGAGAACTGAAATAAGCTGAGTCCTGGGTCAGTCTGTGGTTAAGCTGATTGCCCACACACTCTGCAGTTAAGATTGACTTTTAGGATGGCACCATGAGTGCCAGAACCTGAGTCACCAAAAGAAATCTGGTTATATTTCCATTACAGTAATGACTAAGTCATGAAAGTGAAAGATTTTTTCTTTTTTATTGAGATTATTTTAATTTACCTTTTATTTTGAAGTAATTATAGATTCACAGTAGATTGCAAGAAATAAACAGGAAGAACCCCTTACCTGCCCATGCTACATCCCACACCTACAAACCACAATACAAAACCAAGAAACTGGTACTGCCACAATCCATGGGGCTGATTCACATTTCATCAGTTGTATGTGTATTCATGTATGTGTATATATGTGTGTGTGTGCACTTATGTGGTGTGTTTCTGTGCAGTTTGTCACACATATAGCCTTTCGTGATCATGAACACACTCTGTGTAACCTGCTATCACCACAGATCCCCTTAAATTCCCCTTTTTAGCTGCATCTATACTGTTCCCTGTCCCTAACCCTGGCAACCACTAAGTTCTCCATCTTTGTCATTGTGTTATTTTATGATTGTTACCTGAATAGAACTATGTAATGTGCATCAGTTTCTTAGAGCTTCCATATAAAGTTCCAAACCAGGTGGCTTTAAAAAGCACACATTTATTTACTCTCTCACGCTTCAGGCCAGAAATCTGAAATCACGATGTTGGCAGCGTTGTGCTTACTTTGATGACCCTGGGTGAGGATCCTTCCTGCCTCCTTCAGCTTCTGCTATTTCGTGGCAATGCCATTTCCCAGCTCATAAACACATCACTCCAGTCACCTGGCCATCTTCCTCTGTGTGTGTCTGTGTCCATATTTCCCCATTTTATGACACTAGTAATATTAAATTAGAGCCCATCCTAATGACCTTCTTTTAATCATTAAATCTGCAAAGACTCTATTTCCAAATAGGTCACATACATATCCATATCCATATTTATTCCTATATTTTATCTATCTAAAAATCAAAATTTTTTCTTTTCCCCTTTTAGTATATCTTTGCGATGCATAATAGATACATATAATCATGGTGGAGAATTGGTATATACACATATTGCATCTTTATCTTTTTTTACTTCCCATTCTCTCCCCTCCCTCACATCTCCACATAGTTTATCTTCTTGTTTCCTATAATCTATCTTTTTTCCTTTAGATTATTTATATTTTGAGTATCTCATGTAAGGTAAATCATGCAATATTTAAGCTTTTGTATGTAATTTATTTCACTTAGCATTATGGGTTCAAGGTGCATCCATTTTCCTACAAATGACTCAAATTTATCCTTGTTTATAGGTGAATGGTATTCCATTGTGAATATATATCACATTTTCTTTATCCATTCATCTGTTAATGGACATATAGGCTGCTTCCAAGATTTAGCTATTATGAGTTATGCTGCTATAAACATGGGTATGCATGTGTCACTATAATATGATATCTTTAGCTCTTTTGGGAAGATATCCAGAAAAGGTGTAGCTGGGTCTAATACAATTTCAATTTTTAATTTTCTGAAGAATCTCCATATTGTTCCATAGTGATTGTACTAGTTTACATTCCCACCAGCAATGTAGAAGGATTCCTTTTTCCCCAAGACCTCACAAGCATTTGTTGTTTTTGAGTTATTGATGCTAGCCATTCTTTCTGGAGTTAAGATGGAATCTCAGAGTTGTTTTGATTTGTATTTCTCTAATGGTCAAAGATACTGCAACTTTTTTTTTAATGTACTTATTGTCCATTTGTACTTCTTCTTTTGAGAAATGTGTATTCATTTCAATTGCTCATCTTTTATTTAGAGGGGGGATAATTTTTTTAGCTCTTTAGATATTACTCCTTTGTCCAAGGTGTAGCTGGCAAAATTTTTTTCCCATTCTATAGGTTTTCTCTTCACTATGTTGGTTGTTTCCTTTGCTGTGCTGAAGCTTTTTAATTATGATCCCATTTGTTAATTCTTGGTGTTATTTCTTATGCACTTGGGGTTCTGTTCAGAAAGTCCTTGCCTATGCCTATGTCTTCAAGAGTTTTATCTATTTTATCTTCCAGAACATTGCTTTTGTTTTAATATCTAGGCCATTGATCCATTTTTATTTTATTTTAATACAAGGTGAGAGATATAGGTCTAGATTGATTCTTCTACATGTGGATAATTGATTTTTCCAATAATATTTGCGAAAAAGACTATCTTTCCTCCAGACTTGTTTTTGGCTGAATGTGCCTGAAATTGTTTCTGCATCTTCAGTTTTGTTCCACTGATCCATATCCCTGTTTTTGTGCCAGTACCATGCTGTTTTTATCACTGTATCTTTGTAATATAACTTAAAATCTTTGATTGTGATACCTCCTGCTTTGCTCTGGTTGCCCAGGATTGCTTTTGTTATTCTGAGTCTCTTTTGATTCCATATGTATTATAGGATTGGGATTTTTTGTAGTTCTATGAAGAACACTGTTGGTATTTTGATTGACATTGCATTAAATCTATATGTCATTTTTGGTAATATGGCCATTTTGACAATATTAGTTCTATCTGTCCAGGAATAACTCCATTTTCTGATGTCCTCTTCAATCTCTTTTCAGAGTACTGTAGTTTTCATTATTAGAGGTCTTTCATTTTTATTGCTATTAATTTTTTTAAGCTATTGCAAATAGGATTGTTTTTGTAATTTCCTTCTCAACTGATTCATTGTTGATGTACAGGATGCCACTGACTTTTGTGTGTTTATTTTCTATCTTATACCTTACTGAACTTGTTTATTAAATTTGTAGGGGTCTTTTGGTGTAATTTTTTGCATCTTCTAGGATCATGTTTTCTAAATAAAGATAATTGACGTCTTCCTTTCCTATACATAGCCCTTTTATTTCTTTCTCTTGCTTGATTGCTCTGGCTGAAGTTTTGAGTACTATATTGAACAGGAATGGTAACAGTGGACACCCTTGCTTTGTTTCTGATAAAAGTCATGATTCCATACCAATATCTCCAACCACAGACCACTACCACAGAATTGACTATAGATTTGCCCCACTTCCATATGTATAATTCCCTGTCTAGCAGTGAAAAATCTGAGTCCATTTTCTTCAGTATTACCGACTCCAACTTCTATATGTAATCAGCCTCCCAACCATACAGGGTGCCTCCTCCACCCCAGCCCACTGATCCCTACTATGTAATTTATCTTCTCTGCCCAGTCCTATTGACCAGCCATGTAGCATCCTCAGACTGACTATACCATGTGTGCCAGCAACACTGCTGAACCTCAGCCACCAAAACCCTCACATCCCACCCAGCTGGCTGTTCTTGGCCCATTTCAATCTACTGAATCTTGAGCCTTGGTCGAAGGCAGGGACAGAATGCCAGTTTAATTGAACTTGGAAAAGCATTACAACTTTTACAGATAAGAAAAAAATGAACAAGTTATAATAAAAGAAAAAAAGACAAGAAGAAAAACAAAAGCTGTTGTAGATACAACAAACATAAAACACCTGCTTTATACCCAGGCCCTCTCTGTACAAAGCCTAGGGATGAGTGAGATCTATTCTTAACCCTCTGGTAACTTGCAACTACCCAGAGAGGAAAAATGCAGGTGTGCAAAACAGGAAATGACATTTAGTATACAAATGTCAGATCAGGCGGGAAAGAACCATGAATGCTACCCAAACAGGTCAGAGGAGATCACTGCCAGCAAAAAGTGGGCTCTGTCCAGCAAAGGACCCATTCAGCAAGTGCAAGGCCTGGCATAACCATGTTAGTGACCAAGATGTGCAAATCCTACTATATGTCTAACATATTTTCAAAATAATATCTTTAATTGTTAATGTTAATCCCCTAAGGTTATTGCTTTTTAAAATTATTGTTGGATATAAGAGTAGTTAATAGACTTTACTTTCACATTGCAGCTGAAGAGTCTGCTTCTTTTGGAGCAAAGGGAGATATGGCTGCTTGTGACTGACATCACCCTGCAAACGAAGAATCAGAGTGGCCCCCACCTTCCCAAAACCCTGCCAGTCTGTGTGGCTCCCTCATGTATGCTGTGCCCGGAAATTCTGGAAGCACTTACCATGGGCACGCCTCTCAACATCTTCTTCAAGGATGCTCTCAGAGACCAGGGTGTGCTAGCCTCTTCTCAAGAGCTTTGATTGGGGTGACTGGTGCCCACACAGTGGCCCTTGAAGCTTCCAGATGCCTCCATTTTGCTCAGCACCGCTGACATCTTCATAAAGCTCAGCACAGACCTAGCCTACAGGGTAGAGAGGTCCATGTTACCAGCCTTGGGCTTTTGTTGACCCCTGTCATGGCCACCTGGGCAGATCCAGCATCTCCATGGTGCAGGGAGGCCCTGTGAAGAAACCACTGACCACTCTGATCCTCTGTTGGGAGGACCCTGTGCCGCTGCAGAAACCACCTGAAGTCAGCCTGGATGATCCCTTTTTAAAACAAACCAAGGACGCGGATTTAGCTCAGTGGTTCTGTCGCTTGCCTTCCAAGCGCAGGGACCCGAGTTCAATCCCTGGTACCAAAAAAAAAAAAAATTAAAAAAAAAACAAACCAAAAGCTAGAACTGTTTAAGTGTATAGGTTTTAGGTCAGTTAGCTCCCTTTTTTAAGGGATCAAACTAAAATCCTACCTGTTATTTTTTATACTTTATTGAGATAAAAATTTGTATACTACAAAATTTATCCTTTCAAACTGACTTTGAGTTCAGTATTTGTATGCTTTCCCATCATAGCCCACTGGGGACTTTGGGATTTACTCCCACATGGCATGTGTCCAACTGGATGTGGCCTGTCATTAGGAGCAGGCAACCCCACACATGCACCTTTTCACCTACATAACTTGAGGGAGAAGGTTTGTAAAGGAGACTGTCTTTACTGGCAGAAATCACATTTTTTCTTCAGTGCTTCAATAATTTGAAATGTCTCTGTTGGCAGGTCGGATTGTTTGTGTTGAACGGACTGTCCTCTTACTGCAAAAACCCCTTTTGTGTGTGGCCTCTGGTGCTGACTCCTGTGAGCTGACTGGCCCAGTGACACTGGATGAACTGGACTCCTTCACCCCTGTCAACTCCATTTGTAGTGTGCAAGGTGGGCAGCCATCTCATTGGAAATGGTATTTATATTGTCTTAAACAGTGTGCTATTATATATTCATTTACTCATTTACTCAACAAAGTTTTGTTGAATACCTATGTTCCAGGCATGGGATGCATAGAAACAAAATGAAAAGAGGTTCTTACCTCTTGGACTTAGAATCTGTACAGAAAGAAATGTGTCTTAGTCACTTTCCTCGTCACCGGGACAAAATATCCAACACCTGCAACTGAAAAGAGGAAAGGTTTAATTTGGCTCACAGTTTGCAGAGATTTCAGTCCACAGTCTGCTGGCTCCAAGGCAGGACAGGAGCTGAGGAGCATGGCAGAGGAAAAGCTGCTCACCTTATGGTGGCTGGGAAACAGAGAAAAGGGAGGAGCCGCGGAGGGAGATAGGCCCTACCAGATCACACCCCCAGTGACACACTTTTTCTGACCAGGCCCCACCTCTCAACACTAAGCCAGCTACAGTGCCTGATAATCCAGTCATCTTCCACAAGACCCCACCTCTGACCACATGAGGCTTTGGAGGGACACCCAGCTATAAGCTATAACATTACTTGAGTCAGATAAGTGCACAAACAACCATAGGATGGCAGCGTTTCCAGTGTTTTAGCTATTGATTAATTGGACCCTCACCATATCTGGGAGATCAAAGAAGGCTTCTTGAAGGTAGGAGGCTGGAGCTGAGATTTAAAGAGCAGAACAGATTATATCAGGGATAGGGCAAGGAGCAGGATTTACAAAGGTGGCTAACAGGAGAGCTAGTAAGCAAAGGTGCCCTGGAGTAGACAGAATAGGCAGCTGGGGGCAGGAAGAAAAGGTGAGGAGACCAGAAGGGCCAGCTGAGTCAGAAGTATGCTCTGCCATCTCCAGAGAGGGAGTAAACTGATTTCCATCCCTTCAGAGCAGATGGAGAGGCCAGCATAGTAGTGGTAGCAACAGAGAAGCAAATCCAGTGATGTATTTATTCAGGAGGGAAGTTGGTAGGTTGGGTCATGAATTGGGCCAAGAGGGACCCGGGCACAGACAGAGAGAGAGAGGGCATATGCAGCCACCTCCACATCTGGCTCAGGCAAGGAAGTGATGGTCTTGCTGTTTGTCAAGGCAGGATACGGTGGATGAGGCGGCTTTGAGAGGACTGAGTTCTGTCTGGAGAGGTTGGGTATTCTTGATACATCTGAGAAGATGTTTCAATAGCTGCTTGCATATATGATTCTGGAGCTGAAAATAACAATTCTTTTTTTCGCTTTGAGACACGGTCTCACTGTGTAGTCCAGGCTAACCTTGAACTCGTTATGTAGCCCAAGCTAGCCTCAAATTCATGATCCTCCTGCTTCCACCTCCCAAGTGCTGAGATTAAAGGTGTGCAAAACCATACCTGGCTTCCTAACTAATATTTTTAAAGTTAAAAAAAAGAAAGCATTTCCAAGTGTGGTGATACAAGGCTGTAATCCCAGCCCTTAGGAGGCTGAGGTAGGAGAATCACAAGTTCCAGGACAGCCTAAACTACAATAGTGTGAATTCAAGGCCAGCTGAACTACATATTAAAACCCTGTCTCAAGAAAATTTTTTAATTAAAAAAAATTTAATGAATATTATTCAGTAATAAAAGTAATTAATACATATGCATTGAAAGTAGTGAAGGCTAAACCAAAAGGAAGGTAGCAACCTCCCACCAGGTACCCACCATGTACGTATCCTGCTGTGGGAGGGTTGTTACCCGTTTTTCCGACACTTCTGTCATTTAATATTCTAGCTGATGTCTGTTCAGGGGGTGGAGTTCTAACAAATTTTTCATGGTCAAATAGTAGTTCCTCATGAACAAACTATTCCTCTGGTGATGGATAGCTAGGATGTTCTTTTATTTTTTTGCAATTATAAACAAGGCTATTCTGGGACATCATTCTCTACTGACTTCCAGAAAGGATATTAGGGTTCATGTGTTTTTTAACAATTTTATTGAGATATAACTCATATACCCTACAGTTCACTCATATAAAGTGTTTTAGGGGAAAGTATGGTAGCACACACCTCTGATCTTACTTGGGAGGCTGAGACTGGAGGGTCACAAACTCAAGGGCACTCTTGACAATTTACTGACAATCTGTCTCAAATTGGGATGTAGCTCAGCACTAGAGCACTCACCTAGTTTATGTGAGTCTGAGTTCAATTCCTATTACCACAAAAGGACAAAGAAAAAATGTTTTCAGTATATTTACAGAGCTGTCAGCCTTCATTACAACCAAACATTGGAACAGAAAAACCCCACACCCACTATTAGTCACTTCCCAAACCCCATCCTTCCACACCCTGGTCTTCAGAGACTACAGTATCTGTCTACTTTCTGTTTCTATGAATTTGCCTATCCTGGGCCTTTCATATAAATAGAATCATACAATATGTGGGGTTTTTTTTTTTCTTTCGGTACTAGGGATCGAACTCAGGACCTTAGGCTTGCGAGGCAGGCACGGCGCCAGTGAGTGAAATCCTTGGCCCAATATGTGGTTTTTCTTCATTGGCATCTTTGACTTGGCATAATGCTTTCAACATTCGTCCATGTATCATTTATTGGAATTTTGTTCCTTTTATGGCAGAAAAAATATTTCATTGTTACAGATATGCCACATTTTGTTTATTCTTTCAACAGTTGATGGACATCTAGGTTGTTTCCACTCTTTTAACTCTTAGCAAAGAGCTTCTCCCTATATACAGGAATAGAGTGCTATGAATAATTATGGGAAAGTTTTTGTTTGAACACCTTTTTTTTTTTGTACCAGGGATCAAACTTGGGACCTTGCACTTTTGAGGCAGGTGGTGGAAACACTGAGCTAAATCCCTGGCCCTTGAACACCTATTTTTAAAGTCTGGGGAATGTACCCAAGAGTGAAATTGCTGGTTCATGTAGTAGCCCTGCATTTAGCCATTTTGAAGATTGCTAAAGTATTTGTCAGAGTGGCTGCTTTATGGATTTGTGTATCTTGAACAATAAAAATTATAGCTATTTTCAACAGTGTATAAAATGTCAAACTTCTAAAACAAAATGTCAAATTAGAGCTCCCATTTTCCCTACTACAGCCCATTACTAGTTCCTAATTTATTTTTTTTTTTGAGACAAATTGCCAAGGCTTGAGATTCCTCAATCCTCAAATTGGCAATCCTCCAGCCTCAGCCTCCCACGTAGCCTGGGATTACAGGCGTGTGCCACCCACCACACTGAGCTCCTGATTCTTTTTATAATTTTTATGAACAATTATAACAACAAAAATTGCGACCCTTCAGTTTCTTGTTTGCTTTAAATAAATCACTCCCTGCTTTGTGAGATTGAGCACTTGTTGGCTGTCATAAGGCCATTTGGGTTTTCTCTTTTGCGTTTCTCCCTTTGATGCTGGTGATAAAACACAAATGTGGTCATAAGTTGATGGGGAAAAGGAAGGTGGTGGCGTGCAGAGGTCCTGGAGACAGCTGACTCCACCTAAAAGCCACAGGTCACATGAGGCCTCCGTTTTCCCATCTGTAAAATAGGGATATGAGAGTCAGCCATAAAGCATTGTTAAGAATTAAATGAGATAATGCACACAAGGCCTTGGGGGCAAGAAGCACAGTCTAGTGGAGAAAATAAAAAACTCAATACTTCTGCTACAACTTCTGCTATCAGGAACCAGGAAGGGAGGGACAGGCATCACAGGTTCAGAGCCAGGCATCACAGTAGACTTGGTGTGTCTGGATTTGTTAGGCAGAGTTGGCACAGGCCTTCCAGGCAGATGGAAGAGCATCAGGAAAATCCACAGTGGTGCTGGGGCAGAGGCAGAGACAGTGAAAGGTGAGGGGGAGGTCCATCTGGACCAGCCTGGGACCCGGTTTGTACTGTCTTGTTCTGCTTTCCCTCAGCTGTGCTGAGGTGGTATGATCAAAGTTTTACATGGAGCAATTCCAGAACGCAATGCATGGAGTGCAGTGCAAAGCAGGGAGAGACTATTGACAGGAAGAGGTAAGAAGAACAGAGGGCTTTTGAGGTCAAGTGGAACAGGAACATCAGCAAGCCACTGAAGAGCTGCTCCTTGTGTACAACTGCTCAGTGCCCCTGAGCTGTACAGTTGGGTGCAGCCTGGATCCCTTGAGCAGACAGGCTGGGAGAACAGAGCTCACAGTGCAGAAAGACCCAGTCTGCAGTCCCCTCAGTGGACAAACTATCAGGACTGAGGACATTGCAGAGAGGTAATGCCCGGGTTCCTGGGCCAACAGCCTCGGAGGCAAGATCTTGCGGTGTGGAGAGGTCTGCCCTTTCCAGCTCCCTCAACACGTGTGCTGTGCATGTTGCCATTAGCACTGCCCTGCAGCTCCTCCCTCCCTGGGCTCTCTATTCTGTTCAGTTTATCTGTCTGTTCTTTTGCCTGTAACATGCATGCTGTCTTGATGATTGTAGCTCTGTTGTATGTCCTGAAGTTGGGTGGTAGAAGTCTTCCAGTTTTGTTTTTCAGTATCGTGTTGGCTATTCTGGCCTTTTGCCTTTCCTTATAAACTGTAGAATCAATTTGTTGATATTCCACAAAATAGCTTTGCTGGGATTCTGATTGGAATTACATTGAGTCTGTAGGTGAAATTGGAAGAAGCTGACAACACTATTGAGTGTTCTTATCCATGAGCATGGAATATCTCTTTTTTTATACAGTGGTACTGCTGTTCACGAACTTGATTCTTTTCACGATTCTGGTCACAAACCGAGTTGGATGAGAACCACATCAAATTCAATGGTTATGCTGACCTTATGGGGAAATTTGATGTGGTTCTCATCCAACTCAGTTTGTGACCAGACTCATGGAAAGAATCAAGTTCATGAACTGAGGTACCATTGTGTCTTCTGTGATTTCTTTCAACAGAATTTTTTTCCTCGTGTAGATCTTGTGAAATTTTGTTAGATTTATACCTAAATGCTTCATTTGTTTTGTAAGTGGTATTGGGTTTTTAATTTCAAATTCCAATTGCTCATTGCTAG